ACCATAACGACCTCAAGTCAAAGGACCAATTCCACTACCGAACGTTAGAGATTAACCACTGACACTCAGATAGTTATCCATGTGGAATCTCTTAGCGGGTCTCCAATGTTTTGTTCTATAACAAAACATCCACGTGTTCATTTAAGTGTCACCACACTTTAGCTCGTGAGATCAGCTACTGACTTCACAAGTAAGAAATGCCACACGTGATGGTCTAACTATATTAACGATATCCGTATCTCGTTATTACTTACGACCATGGTTTATTCAAGATCTAATTATATGTAATTTGTATCTCACAATCACAACTCCTTGTGATTAACAGATTACCTAAAAATTGGATCTTCGAATTCTATTATTTAATATTATTTATCACAAAATTAATTTAAATAAATAATAGATCTCGTCAAAATCAAATGCATTAAACATATTAAAAGCGTTTACAACCTAAATCGATTGGATTTAGGGCATAACACTTATAGTTGTTTGGTCTTGTTTGAATTGTGGTATCAATTTGGTGGTAAACTGAGCCCATTTTACCTTCGTAGTGGTGGGTTTTTCATCTACAAGCTTCTCATCAACTGTTAAAGAGTGTTAAATTCCTTTCTTTCCCTCTATGGCCTTCCTTTTCCCTTTTTCTTCAGGGGTTCTCTGGGGCAATGGTGGGAGGGTCGACACCTAGCTACCATTGAACTATTTTTTAAAATTCTACTACACATTACATTTCTTTTTTATTTTGATCAAATAAAGTTATTTCCACATTTGAGTTGTCAAATCGATTCTTTTTGAGCTTTGTTACTACTCCGTGTACTTACCAATTCAAGAACTTCGTATTAAATTACTTTATTCTTTGTCGCACTGTTCAACCTGTGAAGCTAATGATAAATCTCCACTCCCCATAAACTAGCAATAAGGATAGAAATTTGAAGTTATTACTCGTTTCTGTGGAGACAAAAAGTAAGGGCTTGTTTGATAGTGATTATGAGAATTAATTTTTTGATCGTTAGAGAGAAAAGTGGGTCCTATTTCTAAAAGAAGAAGTAAAAAATGACGGCTGATTTAAGAAAGTAACAATCAAAATTTTAATTTTTTTGGGGTGAAAAATCAAATCCAAACATGCACTGATATTGTATTGTATTGTAATAAACTGCTAAGATTACTAATTCATGACCTCCGTTTTGCCAGCTATCTAACTGGAAACTTACTGGTCCAATACCTACTTGGATGCAGAATGGAGGAAAGAAAATGTAATTCTAATATTATTATTATTATTTTATTTATTTATTTATTTAATTTTTTGCATATATATTTTTCTGACCAATTATGTCAAACTATAAATATTGGTTCATGAATATTCGAAAAATGACAAACGAGTGAAAAAAGTGACAAAACTAAAAAAAAGTCTCAAAATCTCCAGAAAATGACAAAATTATTTTGGCCTAATTAATAAGGAAATTTAAAATTTTAATCAGTTTTATGTGTATTAATCTAATATTTTATTTTTTAATGGCAGTGGGCTTAATTTCCCCTTAATATTATTAATAATTACCCAAATGAAAATTTAAAATTGTTAATTATTGTATAAAGCATAGTCCACACTTATCCACCCAACTTTTAGCTGTCAGCATTATTATCTAGATTTAAATGATTGAACTATTATACTATAACCATTATAATCATAAATTATACCATCTAATCTTACTTTGATGATATTTTAATTATAAAAATTATCGTTTCAGTTATACTTTATATATAACAAGAAGATATTATTATATTGTGCAACCGGTTTACTCTGGGTTGGAATTTAGAGTAACAAAGCAAGATTATAATTAAGCTCCTAAACCAGTGTAAATATATGTTTCAATGATTCAGTGTGACTCTGCGGATGAACTTAACTGTCGAAAGCACTTTCATACTTAAGTTTCAATGATTCAATGTGAATCGGGTTGAAAGCACTCCCAAACTTAAGTTTCAATGTTGCAAGGATTGTGTTAATTGTCACTTGAGCCCAGAAAGGAAGGAAACGAGGCCTGGTGTAAGTGACGAATGCTTCTTTGTGTATTGATGAACACCTTCTGTTGATGAGAGGCTAATAGTTTCGTACATTTACGAGAGATATTTGATCTGGTTTTAGTTTCTCTGAGACTTCGTTTTGTAATCTAAACTTTTGTCTTGTGTTTGAGGTTGTGCTAGTGAATTGCACAAAGGGAGGTTCAGTGCTAGCAGCAGTCGCTGATTCTCCGGGACATCGACCGAAAAATCTCGTGTTCTTGTATGTTTTCTATGAATGTAACTCGAGGGGTGAACGTAATAATCGAAAGCACTCAAGGACTTTAAGATAAAAGGAGTTAATTGAACCCTGCTGGAGAAAGTGGGATCAGAGAAGAATTGGCCAACTCAGTCAAAAACCATTGTCTAACAGAATCTGAAGTGGCAGTCCGTGGACTATGGCTGGTTTTGATTGCTAACTCAAAATCTGGCTCAATGGTTGACTGGTAGACTTCAAAGCTTTCGAAGAGCATGTTTAGTACACTCTTTAGTGTCGTGACTTGAGTGATTCGAGGTTTAAGATATTGTAATTTAAATAAACAGTAGTACAAAGTATGCATAAAAGATCGTCCCACTACACAAATTTACAGTTGGTAAATCTCTTTATAACTTTAAGTCACATATGTCATATAACAACAAACAAATCAAGTTCAAGTCTTAATTTGGTAAAATTTATAAATTGTCAAACTTCATTTTTTTATTGCGCATTGAAATGAAACCAAAATGGATATCCCCTTGAGTACCTAGGGATTAATTTTTGGTCAATGTTTGCTCATTGGATGGATTAAAAAACCAATTATTCAACTGAATATCAGGCAAGTAAAATGCAGTGTCTCTTGTTATAATGCTGTGTGCACAGGAGTGGTATCACAGAATCCTTCCATAACACGCACTGCAGGGGGACATACAGCATTATTGATAATTGTATAGGCTCGTTTTGTTGACTTATTTGATTTCCATTCCGTCTTTCAATAATTTATATAGTCTATATTAGCTGTCCAGTTTTTTATTTTTTTATTTTATTTTTTTCATTAGGGTGGTGGGGTTAGATTTCGAAAATATCATTTACAATAATGCTGTTTGAATAGGTTCATTGACAGGCTGTGTTTCCAAGGGCTGAAATGGTAGCCCTTGATTGGCAATTTATGTTCTTTTTTTTCCTAATTGCAAATGAAAATGTGACAAGTGTGCATATGTTTAAATGCCTGTCGTCTAAGCTGTTTTTGTAGCAAAATCGAATCATTTATAGGTTGTCCATTTAAACTTTGTTGACAAAATTCAGGAAAAGAGAGCTAGTATTGAGAGAGAAAGGACAAAGGTATTTAGCCCCCATTAATTTTGATTATAATGGGAAAAATAAATTTTTTTTTTTTTGAAAAATAGATGATTATAAAAGAATGAAAAGTTTTCGATTTACGTATAACATTATTACCAAACGAGGGCTTAGTTTTATTTTGATCTGCATTGTTGAGTCCTTTGTTAATTTAAACGTCTACGATAGTCTAGCAAAAGCTTTTCTCTCGAAAGATACATTTATATCAAAGCATATTTTAGTCTCCGTTTTAATAGAGATTCTTTAAAACTTATTTTCAAATAATGCATCCTTCCAATAAAATGATTTTGCACATGGACATGTGATTTTTACTTACTTTTAAATCACTTTTTTTTTTTAATTATTTTTCACAAAATCTATTCTCAAATAATCTACATATAACCCGCTATTAGTTAAGATTAAAAAGTTGTTACTTTTAAACCTTTTTTTTTATCAATTATAATTATTTTGCAAGTTATTCCTCCCCGACAAATCTTGCTTTTCTGAAAAATAAGTATTTATCAACTTGGCAAAACAACTTGACCAATTGATCTGAATTCTGAACCTACCTCCCACTTGTTATTGTCTTTATGTTCACATTTAATAGAATAGTTGAAGAAATCTCATTCGTTTATTTGTAGTTTCCATAGGCATATGAAAAATAGCTAGACGACTCTTCTTAGTACAGCTTACTCTTTTACCGTACACAAGTTTTTTACCTATCATTTATCAAATTATTTTCTAATGCACGATCTCATTAAAATTACACATTTACCTGATGTTAATTCTCGTTGGTCGACCTCGACCATATACTTTCGTATATTTATAGTAAAGTAAAGTCGACATTATCGAATAATTACATTTGTTACAAAAGCAATATCGTTGAATTTGTTACAAAAGCAATATCGTCTTCAACAATACTGACGAAAATCGAAAGTCTTTATAAATTTGCATGGTCCCCTCAATGTCAATACGCTGAATTGGAAGGATGTAAAATCATTAAATGGTATTCATTTCTTTTCCCAATTTGTCATTAGAATAATTCCAACTGGTCTTTCTTTACTAATTAGTTATGTGCAATTATTATACTACAGCGAGAGCTACTCCCACACTCAACCCCATGACGACGACTTCACTGATTTTTTGACTTGGTCTTCTTATCCCCACAATCGCTGTTGGGATACAAGTCTTTGAAGCCATTTCAAACATGCAGCAAGTGTAATGGATTCAGGACTTGTCAATTCTTGATTCTCGAGGCATTTTCTCCATCTCTTTCTACTCTGGAAAAGCATGGACACTTTAAGTTGATCATATCATAACATTTCTTCTGCCGAAATCGTTAACTTATCACGGATTTGGCTCTTCATTTCCTGCTCCAGTCGAACCATGTTCTTCTCACGCCTGGCTCTAGTTTCTCTAACAATATTAATTTGTTCGGTGAATCTTGGCCGCGCTGCGACTTTGGCCCCTGATGAAGGTACAATACAATATTCTGCTGGTTCTTGCTTCTTTTTTTTTTTTTTCCCCTCCCCCTGGAAGAAAGTAGTAATTTTTCATTTAAATTTTTTTTGCAGTGGATGCATTGAAGCAAATAGGAAGAACATTAGGGAAGATCTGGAATTTTAATGTGGATCCTTGCAGTGAAGGAGGGAATTGGAGTACCCCTAATGCACCTAAAGGGTTTGAGAATGGAGTAAACTGTGATTGCACTTTTGTTAATAACACCATTTGCCATGTAGTCGGCATGTAAGTATATATTAATTTCTTCTCAATGCATAATCATATTAAAGGATCGTGTGATATTGCTTAAAATTGATTAAAGCTCATGGATCCCATTAGATGTGTCGGGAAAAAGTGGATAAAAGTTATGAATCCAATAAATGTATTATTAAAAATATTCTTAATGCATTTAAGCATTAAGAAAAGTTTCGATTATTTTTTTATCTTAAAGCATGTGTTGCACTTTGAGAGAGAAAAGTTGAATTTTCGTATATCAACGTGACATCTCATTGTAGGTCGAGTTGAATTTTTTAGATTTAAATTCCAAGCAATATGACTGGTAAGTAGGGTGTACATAAATTTAAGGTTAACGAAATCAGTGATGACAATTTTATGTTTTATAAAGAAAATAATAATTTTGTCCTCCATCTTTAGATCTCAATTTTATGTTGAGATTTGCTGTCCGAAGTTGGTTGTCTAACTTGTTGTCCACCCAATAATTTATTGACACATTATTTTACACCTATTTTTAAGCACAAATAGCCACGAGAGAAAAGTTGAATGTGTTAATTTGAAGTGATGTATTAATGAATTATTAGGTGGGAACAATCAATTTTGGACAACAAATCTCGACTCCTTAATCCTATCACGAAATTTTGTCCGCCACAGTAAAGTAATTAAATATTGAAGGGAAAAATATGAATGCGCACTTAGAAACTACTAATATCGAGTCAATACATGTCACAAGGAAAAAAAAATTGTGAAAATTGAAATTATGCCACTGAGAATCAAAAAATATGAAGTACCTGGTTACAATCATAGTTTTAAAAGCCAATCATGACCAGTCAAGTTAGCTAAAAAAATGAAGCCAATTCAAGCCATTAATTTTATCTTTTTGAAAGAGAACTGATTATAATCCATCCAAAACTAACTTTTTCAATTGAATAGCTAGTCGAGTAATGCAATCTAGGCGACAATAAATTATGAGTAAGATAAAAGCATCTCTTCTTCTAACCTTGTGCTCTGAAATGCAGTGTTCTGAAATCTCAGTCTCTTCCAGGGACTGTACCCCGAGAACTGGTCAGACTCCCTTACCTCCAAATAATGTAAGTTCACTTCACTCCTTTTTATTACAGAAAACACACACAATACAGTACAGTTAACTAACTTAACTGTCAATATATTTGAATGTCATTTTACACAGAGACCTCTCTCGCAACTACCTCAACGGCACCATCCCTAGAGAATGGGGTACCATGCAACAACTTTCTAACATGTACGACACTCTTCAGCTCCCATTTCTTTCTGTAATTCATATTTTCTTTATGTGTATATCTGTAAAGCAATTCTTGGGCTATAGTACTAACATAATTTTGGTTCACTGCAGTTCCCTCCTGGGAAATCGTATTACAGGTCCACTACCTGGCGAAATTGCCAACATCAGTACTCTCTTGGAAATGTAAACTTTCTTGATTACCATTTCATTTTACTCCCGTTTAGAATTTTGATTCAGTTGATTTTAAATTAAGATTTTTCTTTTGTTTTTCGAAATTTCAGAGTCCTAGAGTACAATCATTTGTCTGGAAATATTCCTCCAGAGTTTGGGAATTTTTCAAGCATACAGAGAATGTAAGCCCCTTTTACTGGAATAATTTTGCAAGTTTTATTTTATTCCCCTGATTTTAGATAGTTTCTTTGGTTATCATTGTCGATTTTGATTTGTTGTTGTGTAATGTTAATATGTGAAGACTATTGACGTCAAACAATCTAACTGGGGAATTGCCAGCTACTCTAGCAAAACTGACTACATTGAAAGACTTGTAAGTTCCTTCATTTCGTTTAGTTTTTCGGAGTTATATTTCATGATACAGACTTCCATTTTTCAATCTTAAAATTGATTACTTAGACTTGTTTTTATTAATGCAGCCGTATTGGTGATAACAAGTTTATTGGAAGCATACCTAATTTCATCCAGAACTGGACAAATTTAGAGAAGTTGTGAGTGTCGATTGCCATCTTATTACACTCTATTCTTTGATCTATGTTTTTCGCCTTTGATTTTCTGAGTTTTTATTAATGCTGACCTCTTAACTTTTAAAATGCCAGAGCGATTCAGGCTAGCGGTTTGAGTGGGCCGATCCCTTCAGGCTTTGCTTCCCTGACCAAATTGACTGATGTGTAAGTACATATTACAGTTTATTGACACTGGGCAAATGAGTGGCATATGATCTCATTGAAGTGGTAACAAATCTAGTTTTATTTCGAGAAATGAAAGAAGAACTATTGAATGGTTTTTCACAAATATGCAGGAGAATCAGTGATTTGAATGGCAATGATTCAACTTTTCCACCTCTTGGTAACAATAGAAACCTGAAGACACTGTGAGTATGATGCTTATATGTTTCTCTCAAGGAGAACAAAACATTGCTTGTGCATTATTCGACGAATATGGTTTTTCAGGATTCTGAGGAGTTGCAATATCGTTGGTCAGATACCAAGTTATGTCGGGACATTGACTAATTTGAAACTCTTGTTAGTATAATCCTTCCTTTTCCTACCATCATAACTTGTAGATTTGTTCTCAAATGCTATGCTATATTATGAAAGCTTTCAACTCATTATTCTGTGCTGGAAGGTAGTTTACAATCCTCAATCATTCTTATTTTTTGAATTGCTTCCATCACAATATTAGAATTTTCAATAAACCTTAAGAATTTTCATATCATTAGAGTATTAACGAGAGGTACTACAGAACCTCTAGACCTTTCTAATGGAGAAATCAAACTCAATTATAATTTGATTCTATTGACTGGTACACATCAGGGACATCCTACTTTACTATGTTACAAACACTTGTAACTGTTGAGAGTAAAGATTTTCTACATAATGTAAAAATTCCATTCAAACTTGAAGTTTTGCTGTCTATGTATGTAGACGACAGTTTCAAAGGTCATTTAATTAAAAGATTTAGATAACAAATCGTTTTAAGCCATGAGGAAAAGGAACTCTATATTTAAGGGGCTCAATGAACTCTTTTGATCTCTCGTCGCCTTAAAATATATCTGATAAAAAAAAAAAAGCTTGCTGTATCGTGAAGATTTTTGAATTTTTAACAATTGAATTTGTTAGTTTTAGTATTTTATTTTTCACGCAATACCAGGAAGCACTTAGTTTCTCTCCTGCAGCCTTTGAGAATTTTTCTCTGTATAAGCTTTGATTTATTGACATATAAATGATATAATTCAGGAAAGTAAGCTATTGCAAATACTTCTTGTAAGTCATTTTGTATATTTTTTTTCTTGCAGAGACCTCAGTTTCAACAAACTAAGCGGACCAATTCCTGATAATTCTTTTGGTCTGTCAAACACAGATCACATGTAAGGATTTCAATTAGCAAGCCTTCAAAGCCAAATTTCATTTTATTTGATCTAATTTCTTAAAGTAAAATTAATAAATAAATTTGAAACGAAGATCAATTTCGTGGCCTAAGATGGCCTTGCAAGCTTCAATTCCACTTAATAGCCTAACGCTAGGCTACAGGAAAGTCAAATTTACACCGGTAAGCATGCAAGGGACAAATATGGATCCTTTTTAAGCTAGCAAAGGAAATAGCTTACCCTTTCTGGTACAGAAACTGGAAATCCTTTTGACCTCTACCCGCTTTTATTTCCTTTAGTCTTCAAGAGGGCAATGGTGGGAGGGTAGGGACAATGTTACTATTAAAGAGGTTCTTTTATTTTCATGAGATAACTCATCTCATTTTTCCTCACATTTGTTAAATTGAAGTTTCTTGTTGTCAAAGATAGTATTTTTCAACTTTGATGTTCAACTTAATGGTCTTGGCAATTTAAAGAATTAAGAGTCCTAGTGGAATCTGTTCATCTCGTGGAGGTTAAACACCGAACATTTCTTTTGTTCAAGATATTCTGCTTTCAAACAACTAAAATTTGGATTATATGGGTTATTGTTTGGATATGAATATAAATGGATCCATTCGAATTCTAGGAATAGAAAACTATCATAAATTGGAGTTATTGTTATTTTGGTGATGACAAAATCAGTGAAAGTGAATTAGAAACTATTACATTTTCTTGATTTTGCCAGATATCTAACTGGGAACTCCCTAATTGGTCCATTGCCTGCTTGGATGCTGAAAGATGGAGAGTACATGTGAGTCTATCTAATTTTTACCTTTCTTACCAATAATTTCGAACTACGGACCTTTGTTTTTTCCCCATTTATGATTGCGATTATCATTTATAGATACTTCAGTCTCATCTTTCAAATAATATCGACCATCATGTGAGGCAGTCATTGAGATTCAGTCGCACCTCGTGTGTGGTTAATCGTATTTTTATTTTTATTTTGGATATTCTTGGTTGGTTTGGCTTGATTCCCTCCTGAATTAGCATATTTCTTTGCCTTTGGAAGAGATGTGTATAGTGAATTCTCTTACATATTTGCCTTGTTGCTACTATCATTTGTCAATGGATTACAGTTACCCTATGTGGTCAAAGTATTTAGTTCATAGAACTCCCATTAAAAGAAAAACAGAACCTACCCAACTCTTACACTGGTCCTTGAGTCCAGAATCCCTATCCTTAAGCAAGCTATGGGATTCTGCAGTACCGAGTTGGTTTATAGTTTCAGAAATTACGTGAAAGGTAAATTTAGTTGGACTATAGAAGCAATCGTGAAGAACGGACCAAGAGTTTTGCCTTTTTGCTGTGCTAAGGTAAAGAAAGGGTTAACAGTAATCACAGAGAAGACAAACTAATTTGCAAAATTCCGTCCTTACGTCCTGCAATTTGTCCTTGAATTCCTTTTGTATCTGCTTATTCAGTTAATTCAATAGCTTTTTTCCATTGCTTTTCAAAATGAAACTCTATTCCAGTCTCGAAAGAGTATTGGCGCAAAAAAAGGATCCATCCTTCACTTGCTGATCGTTTGCGAGTATATTAATACAGCTTTCTTTTGTATAATTTTCGTAAAATGAAAGTCTAAGACAAATAGACATCATATTGATGATCTTTTTTATTTTTATCTAGTGATCTATCCTACAACAACCTTACATCTGAAAGCACATCCTCAAATTGTCAACCGCTTAAACTGTAAGGTCACTTTCACTATTATCGGAATTATAATTTGATTCTTTTCCCATCTTCCACATATTAGTAACACTGCACCATTTTTTGCAGGAACTTGTTCGAAAGCTCAAAGGGAAATACAACGTGAGTTTCTATGATTCTTTCAT